CTACATTTAAGACCTACTTCAGCTTCATTAGTTATACTGATGGGTCAGTGGTGACTTAAGCAAACACATTTCACACTGGGTTACGGTGAACGAGCAATGCAAAATCCACCAATTCTGTAATACCTAAAGCAAGAAAGAAGACAGGGAACTCGCACCAAGTTCTGTCTGATAGAGAAAAGTTAACTTATTACCACCCTGTTCTGGTCACACACGATTCTTTGACTTAATATGAAATTTCCATAGTAAAAACCTGGCACAGTTTTGAGTGAAACAGAGCGCACATTCTAGCTACTCTCATAATACAAAAGAACCTCTATATGGCCGTGTACATATACACATGCATAATCATTGTAAGGGGGGAGCTTCTACTCTCCTCTGAAAGAAGAATCCCCAAAAGATCAGTGCCAAGTATATCTTATGCACAGACCGAAGTTACAGGGGTGACCAGAATCAAACCATGCCCATGTCAAAATAACTCCTAAATTCTCCATTTCCCACATGCTATCTATTACAACTTGCACTGACATGCCAGTCACTGGCAACGGGTGGAAAATCTTCCCAATATCAGTTCCTGCTAATAACAACCTTTTACTTACTTCATTAGATAGGCGTATCACAGGAAGGGAAAATTAATCCTTCAAGCAATGAACGATTCCAAATCTAAAGCGAGTTGAGTACACCAACCACTAAAAAAAAACCTACTAGTTCAAATCACTCTTGTGCTTAACAGAAAACTCAACAGCCACCCTTCAGATGTGAGCTTGAAAAAACATGCAAGATATTCCCTCAGATTTAGAGAGTTACATACAAGAGTTCCTGTTTTCCTCTCTATGAACTATGTCCCCATCACCCAAAACCACACTAAGTGGAAAAATCGGGTACTAAAAATCATAGATCTTTAAGATTTTATAGTAAAACAAAAACCACTACCCCAACAATCCAAACAAACTCCACACACTTTAGTCAGCCTAAAGTTATGGAAAACACTATTAGCAACAAACCTAACACGTCTAAAATGAGACAATCTAATGACCTGTTCTAAACCCCTCATTTAAACTGCAGCTTTGTCAGATCAATTTCAGCAGCAGTGCCGATCCCAACAGACTAAGAGAAAGGAATTCTTCCTAATTTAGGTTAAGATATGCATGTATCAGAATGAGGAATACGACCTACTTTTCTCAAGAATTTTTAATATTTCTTTAACCTAGGAACTGCTGATTATTCTGCCCTCACAAACCATTCTTCTCTTCCTTCTTCCTTCTATTTTCTTCCCCCAAATTTCTTGCTATGTGTTGCTGTGGATACTTTGCTGTTAAGCCAAGAGGCGGTCATAAAAGACAAGAAGAAACAGCTCACTCTGAATTCAACTGCCATCTTACACCAAAACAAACATTATAGAATTGTAATACCTGATTTCTGCTGGTTTTATATGCCAAGTGTTACTGTGATGCTCAGTCAACGTAAACACAGGAAGAAAAGAGGAAAAGTAGATGGTACGCAGTGAGAGGACACACACACGCTGGCATTCTGTTGGGATTGAGACCACTGGTAGATTAATGTGAAAAGAATGATCACGGAGAGCAATTTGGAGAACTTTTGCAAAAGAAGTTACTTGAAATCATGCTGGAACACTTGAACAGCAACAGCAAAGCAAGATTTTGGTTCTGGACACAAAATCAACTTAAATGTGTTTGAATTACACGGAGATATTCACAAATCAAAACACTGAATTCTTACAAAATGAAACTCCTATGAAAGAGAAGCAGCCTATGAGGATCAGGTACACCGAACCAGAACAATGCAAGGTTACAATGGCTGTTGGAGCAGCATGTTAGTTTGCACGCAGGAAATGGATCTCCTGCTTCAAGGCAAGAGCGTAACAACAATTGTTTCAGGGAAATTCTTTTCCATTGTGAAGTTATGTTGTTTCAGGAAGACTGGCAAAATCAGCAGGGAGTAACATACCTTTCAGACAGAAAAGAACTTTCATGAGGAGAACTTAACATTTCACATGTCTGTAGGCTGGCAACAGATGACGAGGGTAGTTGGCCTGATTGTAATTTGTCATCATCAGATAAATTTGCATCAATTATTACGTGGCTGTCTATGTATTTTCTTCCTATTTTTGTCCTCAGGACATTCGTCAAGATAACTTTGGGTTGCCTGTCATATAGATATAACAGTAAATCATAAATACTGCACTGAAATCTAGAGACAAGAAATTTGTTAAATTCACATATCTTAGAGGCTTGATAATCAATTATCATTACTTAGAGACAAAACAGAATCCCACTACAGAACATAGTGGGATTCTGTAAGCAAATAAACACAAAAAAGAAACAAGAGACCAGGGTAAGAAAGCCTAGCCATATCATTTCACCTTAGCCAGACACAATTCCCACTGCATTGCCTCTAACACATCATCTAAGTATTGTTTAAAAACTACTAAATATTTATCTCTAAATAGCTTTCACGCAACATCAGTAAACATTTCTCAGAACTACTGAGTAAACAATCTTGATTTTCCTGTGAACAAGAAGCCTCCAGTAAAACAGACTGAATTTTGTTAAGCACTTCGTCAACGGGTAGAAAAACAGCGTGCACACAAAAGGACAGGATTAGATTTTGTTCCCCTCCTCAACTTCCAGGTGGCATTCTACAGAATAGCAATAGCAAGGCTCAGAAAAACATCTGCAAGCATTAGAAGAAAAGCATCAAAACCAAAAAGATAAACAGAAACATGAAGATGCAACTGCCCACTCGAGCACAGATTTGTAAGAGCAGCACAACTTTATTCCTACAATGCCACTGTAGCCAGCTTGTTGTACAGCCCACTCAGTTTCTCAAACTGGGATTTAAATTCCACCACTTCCATTGTAAATTATTTAGGATGGTTTGTTTTCAGTTCTGTTATGAACAACACTGTCTTTTGAGTACTGAGTAATTCTCCTGCTGTCTGTGTTCGGAACAACACTGTCTTTTGAGTACTGACTGCGTAATTCTCCTGCTGTCTGTGTTCACTCATAAAGCACACTCCTGCACAGACCACGTGATGTCTGGGGAGTGCTGAGATTTCCTCTTGCATCGAGAGGTAAATTTGTTTTTCATCAGAAGACTACCCTGCAGACAAGATGACACCCTCCACTAGACCAGGCTGCTCAAAGCCTCATCCA